TCTCTGAATCGCCCCCACCTCCCCGACAGAGAGTTTTTGTTTCTGTAAAGATGGTTTTCTTTCCACCACTCAAAGCGATTGCTTTCACTCTATCCCAGAGTGATGCGCGATCTCCAGAAACTTTAAGCAGGGCCAAAGGTGCGGGAGGAGGGGTGGGGGATCCCTTGGCGGCCTGTCCCGCTCCTGTCCCGCTCCTGTCCCGCTCCAGGCCGGCGCTCCCCGCCCGGGAGCGGCGCAGCGCAGCGGGGAGCGCCGGGGCTGCGGAGCCCTCGCTCCTTCTCCTCGCAGGGAGAAGCTGAACCCTTCGCTTCGCGTTTCGCTGGATCCTCGAGGGATAGGATGGAGTTTGGGGACACCTCCTGAAGGCTTGAGAAAAGCCTGAGCGCCGGGCTCGGCTCGCTGCAGGTGCGGACGGAAAGGAGCATCCCGCTCCGTGCGATCCCTCCCGGCGGGGCTGGGGGAACTCCGCTGCGGGAGAGGGGCGGCTCGGGGGATGCAGAGCCGGGCCCACAGACCCACGGCCCAACTTCACCGCCAGGTCTCACAGCATCCGCCTGCTGTCGATCCCGCCGTGTGCAAGGGCAGCGGGAAGCAGAAAAGCTGGGATCTGCTTAGAATGCTTAGTTTCCTTTTTTTTTTCTTTTTTTTCTCTCCTTAATTAAAAAAAAAAAATCCCGCCGAGCCCCATCAAGGCCACCAAGATCATCGTTCCCCTGGGAAATGCCCCGGCAGTCCCGGGACGGGCGCGGGGAGCCGCTGATCCTGCCGAGCCCCATCAAGGCCACCAATATCATCGTTCCCTGGGAAATGCCCCGGCAGTCCCGGGACGGGCGCGGGGAGCCGCTGCCCGCCGCCCGCACCCGCGCAAAGGCCGCGCTGCGGGGCCGCAGCCGCGCCGGTGCCCATCGGCTCCTTCCTCTGCTGGGAAAGGGCCAGGAGGGTCCGGAATCGTTTTCCGAGCACTGACCAGAAATAAATGAGCTTTTTTTCCTTGCCGTTTGATAACATCGTGCTGCCGCGCTGTAAAATGGAAAGACGTATTTACTATGACAACAATATTTTTAATGGGTTGCAAGCGACTTGTCCCAAAGTTGGTACTGCAAACAGCAAAGGCATCGCTCTGTTTGTAGGCGACACAGCCAGCACCGTATTTTGACCCCGAAACTCTGTTTATTTTTCATTTACGACCCATTGCCAGGGTTTTTATCCCAAACGAAAAGAAAACGCGGGATTATCTTTTCGCAACGCTGAGTTTTATTTTGATTCCTTCGGCCCCAAATCCTGCCCTCGGCGCTATCAACACGTCGATTCGGGCCAATCTGCGGGAAGCGGAGGGCGATCCTATCTCCAAATGACCCTGCCGGGGGTTGGGACACGCGTGACGGCCGCGGGGCCCGGACACCCGCGGCAGCCCCGGGGGGCAGGGGCAGCACCGGGGGGCGCAGGGGAAGGGGCGGCGGGAGGTCAGGGAAGCCCTCGGGGAGGGAGGGACCCCCCCCTGCCCCCTCCGCGGGGCTCCCCGCGAGGATGCGACCCCCGGCCCCGGCACCCCGCCGCCCACCCAGCCCCTTCCCGCGGGGCAGCCTCTGCATCCCGCTCCGAGGAGCCCGGCGGGATCGGCCCCGTGCCCTGCCCGCAGCCCCGGAGCTCACAGACAACCCTTGGGTTATTTGTTTTGTTGTTTCTATTTTTTTAAAAATTTATTTTCTTGTTTATTTATCTTCATTTTTTTATTATTATTTTTTTTCCGCCCGAAACCACACTTTAAAAATGATAAGGAACGGGTTTTATTGATTTTTTTTTTCCACCACAACATTGAGTTTATAACAATATAGGCTGTTTCAAAAATAGGACCGATCCCTAACAGAAAGAGAGAGGGCAGAGGGTACAACCGAAATTGGAAAACAAAATTTAAAATCAAACAAAGAAGAGAAACCAACCAACCCAAACCCTTGGGAAGACAGCAAACAATTGTCAGACAACAGGTGAGCAGACACTAAGACAGAGAGAGACTAGAGGTGTCCACTCCTCACTTGATTTCTGCCTATTAAAATCCACATACTCAATGGACTTTAGAAGAAAACTGTACATCATATCAAATAAATTAAAATTACCCTAAAGTTGATTGTCCTTCACTTAAAGCGCCCAGCTCACCGAATCTCCCTTATTTATTCGCATAAGCCGGGCCGATGCTAATTCCCATGCCCTGCTCCTCTCTTCTCACTTTCCTTCGCTTTTAATTCTTTTTTATTTTATTTTGCACAACATGAAGAAACGCAATTTTACAATGCTAAAAAAACCCTTTCCTCACCATTCAAATAAAAGCAGTGCTTTAAGAATCGTCGTACAATATTGCACAGTTCAAAAGTACAATAATATTATTAATAATAATAATAATAATTAGTATTACAAAAGAAAGCAAAAGGGCACAGATTTCCCCCCCCCTCCTCCCAGATACCGAAATAACTTTACAAGGAAAAAAACCCAAAACAACCCCACAACTAGGAAAACAAGAATTATAAACAAGAATTAAAAATGTCTAAGTAAACGATAATAAATAAGGGTCCCTCAAAGCGTGCGAGTGTGTTTAACCGTTCACTTTGAGGCTGTATTTCTTGCTCGTGAAAGTCTCATGGCAGAAACCGAAAGGTACAAAACGTGGGCAAGCAAAGAGGCAAATGTCTGCTTAAATGAAAAGCCGTGGTCGATGAAGTTTGAGTCACGACAGGATCAGGAGCCTGAACAATTATTTGGAGGCAGAAGGAGAGATCCGAAAGGAACAGAAATTCAGCTTCCCATTAGCGTTTGGCAAATCTCGAGGAGTGGCCTGGGACCATTCATTTTATTTTATTCCTATGCTTTTTTTCCCGTTTTTAATTTTTTTGTCTTTTTTTTTTTTTTTTTTTCTTCCCTTTTTTTTTTTCTTTTTTACAAAAATAAAACTAAAGCCGCAGAGAGAGAGAGTGAGAGGGACCATCGCGGTTTTCATCCACGTTTACAAAAGGCGTGACAGCTCCAGGGTTCTCTACAAGCCCCCGCTTTCATTTTCCTCATTTTCGTTTCCCTCCCCCCGCATTTTTATTTCCTTTCTTTTTTTTTTTTTTTCCTCCTAAATTCCCGCGACTTTCCTCCTACCCCCACCCGCCGAGGGGTCCCCCCAGCCCCGCACTCGTGTCCCCGCAGTCCCCCCCGCTCCGCACTGGCCGGCCGGGTGCCTCGCACGGGGGGCTGCAGTACTTACAAGCGGCCGGGTGACTTGCGCGCCTCTCCGCGCCCCTCCGCGCAGCGCCGGCCGGGCTCACACGGGCCGCAGCAGCGGCACCGAGGTGACCACGGGGTGGGAATAGTAGACGGGGTGAGGGAAGGTGAGCAGGGGCTGCGTGCCGGGGGCTCCGCCGCCCCCCGCGCCCCCCTCCGCGCCCGAGTTCTCGTGGTAGAGGATGGGGACGCGCACGATGCGCTGCGCGGCCGCGTGGCTCAGGTTGGCCGCCTCCAGCTCGGCCGCCAGCTGCCGCTTCCACTTGTTGCGGCGGTTCTGGAACCAGATCTTCACCTGGGTCTCTGTCAGGTGCAGCGAGGCGGCCAGGCCGGCGCGCTCCGAGCTGCTCAGGTAGCGCTTCATGTCGAAGGTGGACTCCAGCTGATAGACCTGCGAGCGGCTGAACACCGTGCGCGTCTTCTTCTTGCGGCACGGCTTCTTCTCCGGGCTCTCCTCGCGCTTCTTCCAGTCCTCCGCGCCTCCCTCCTTCTTCGCCTCCTCCGAGTCGCTCTCCTCCAGGACGATCTCGTCGGGGCTCTTGGAGTCCAGCTCCTTCTGCTCCCCCTCCGCCTTCAGCAGCGGCTCCGGGGAGTCCCGGTCGGTGCCCGAGGCGGGGGACGAGTCCCTCAGCAGGGATTTCTCCGCAGCTGCATGGGAAGGACGAAGCGGGGCGTGAAGAGGGGGAGATGAGGGACACAAAGAGAGACACCCTCACCGCCCAGGCCCCGCGTCCCGCCGGGGGGACCGGGACGAGCCGGCCGCATCCCCGCGCCCCCCTCCCCACCCAGCGCCGGCTTCTTCACCCCCCGCCCCGCCGCCCCCGGTGCGCACGGCCGCCGCCCCGCCGGGAGGAAGGAGCGGCGTGGAAGTTTTGGGGAGCGGTACCTTCCGTGCGGGGCAGGTGGGCTCCGGCCGGCGTCAGCGCGTAGGGGTACCACCAGGTCTGGGCGCGCTCCAGGCAGTGCGCGCTCAGGGCGAAGCGCGGCGCCGGGATCTCGAAGCGGGGAAAGGCGAGGTCGCCCACCTGCGAGAGGGCGAAGCCGGCGCCGTCCACCGCCGCCTTGCCCGAGGGGGCGAACAGCGCCCGCGGCTGCTTGGGGGGCGCCTTGGGGGGGCCGCCGTTGAGCAGGTTCTTGATGTAGAAGGACTCCTTGGGGGGAGGCGGAGGGGCGCTGGGTGGCTCCTGCCCGGTCTCCGGCATCCTCCGCTGCCCGCCCGGCTCCTGGCCCGCGCCCGGCGCGCAGGTGGCGGCTCCCGGCGGCGCGGGGGAGCGGAGCGGCGCCCGCGCAGCCCGCGGCACCGGGGGGCTGCTGCGGGCAGGCGGAGAGCCGGGGTCGTCGCTGCCGCCGCCGCCGCCTCCCGCCGCCGCTGCTGCTGCGTCAACCTGACGCCGGATGCTAATGATGAAATCAAAATGTCATCCCCGTTCCGCGCCGGGAGCACACGGCGATTGGGCACGCACAAAGGCGAATGGGATCAGGCGGGAGGAGAGGGAGCCCCTGCTCGCAGCCGCCGCGGCCCCGGCCCCCCCGCCCCGGACGCGCCGCCGTGCCCGGAGGCGGCGACCGCCCGCCCGTCCGTCCGCGGCGTTGGCAGAGTCCAATTAGGCAGCGAGCGGGGCCGGGCCGGCCGCACAAAGGCACCGGCTCGGCGGAGCGCGGCGGCAGCGGCGGCAGGCGAATGGCACGGGCCGAGCCGCTCCT